GGGGTGGGCAGGGAAGCAGAGAGCGGGAGCCGCGGCAGCGGCTGGGAAGCGGGGATCCGCTTCTCCGAAACCCTGGGGGCGAAGGTTACCCCGGCTGAAAGGGGTCTTGAGGTGAAGGGGAGATTGAATGTAGACGAATTTTGGCAGTTTTGTTGAAATAATCAAGTGCCGAGGGCAAATTTTAGGCAGATAAGATAGAGGGATGGATCCCGCTGTTTTGGATGCCGGCTTGAATTTTTTATTTACTTTTCTGTTTTGACCACTGCTAAATGTGGATTTTGTGAGAGAACCCGATGGCTCTTGTTCCATTATTCCTTGTTTGAACGTAAATCTTAGTCCTGCTGCTTGTGGATTTTTTTTTTAATTTATTTTTTAAAAGGACCTTTCCAAGTAGCTTTCACGTCTGACAAAATGAAGCCTTTGTATTTTTCGATCAATTATACCTAATATTGACGTCCTGTTTGGTACAAGAGACTTAAAGTGCTGCCTCACTCAGAGGACCATTAAAGACTTTCCCGGTCGCTACATGTAGCTGAATGTGTTACGACACATCCTTTCTCCCCCCCAAAATCTCCCGAAAGATTTTTCCAAAATGAAGAAATTTAATTTTCGCAAAGTTTTGGATGGTTTAACTGCCTCATCCCCCGGTGGAAGCAGTGGTGGTGGCAGTGGCAGTGGAAGTGGGGCTGGTGGTGGCTCCGTGCACCCAGGAGGGACTGCAGGAGCTGCAGGGACACCCAGAGAGGAGATCCAGGAGACACTCACTTCAGATTATTTTCAAATTTGTAAGGTAAGGGCTGTATTTTTATTTTCTATGGAAACGATAAAAGCTGCGTTGAGTTGGGGGGGGGGGGAACAGGAGGGCAGTAATCTGATACCAGTAAGCCTTTTACTTGAGAACTGCAGTGGTTGTATAAGGACTTTGGGATGAAAAGACAGATCTAGTGGATTTTTTTTTTCTTCCTGCTGCAGAGTTGGGGTGGTCAGTAAATTCATAGAAATCTTGATTTCTGCATTCAAGGCCAAATCCTAAGTTCACACTTGGATCCCAAACTACTGACAAGATTGTGGGCAGGAAAGCAAATCAATTGGTGCTAGTACAGATAAAATAAGTGATTAGAAATTTTAGATTGTATATATCTACTTCCCCTCCTCACTCTTTTCATCCTCCGTGCCTTTTTTTTTTTTCTTTTAAGATAAAGGCACAAGCTAGAAATAAAAGACAGTGCACTGATTACTGAACATAAGACTTCAACTATTTGTGAGGGACTGGATGTACTTTCAGGATGGCTGTTTATCGTTAGTACTAAAGATTATAATTGCATGACAGTAAACTTAGTGGGACAGCATGAATACCACAAGTTGCCAAATTTGTTTGGAATTGGTTTTCATGTTTTGGTCAGGTCTTTAAGTGAGAATTTTCTTTGAGTAGAAAGCGTAAGATATCCCTGCGTGTTTTGTTTTGTATCTGTCTTCTGCAACAGAGCTTTCAGTGGTGCTCTTAAATGTACCAGTAAACCGGTACAAACTATTTGGTACTTCTGACTAACTCTGAAATATAAAAATCATGTGTTTGTAATGAAGAGCAAAAACAAAAGGAGATGATATATTATGGTCCTCTGCTGTTATCTTTAACTTCTATGTGAATTCTGTTGGCTTTACTGCAAGTTTTGTTTGCTTATTTGTTTTGATTAGAAGCTTCAAAACCAAAATTTTTAAGTAGTGCAATGTACATTATTAGGAGTAAATGGACTTCATCTATTAAGTATACTTTCCTTTTATTAATCAGATACCACTTGATTTGAAATTTAGGTTTTGGTCAACTCCCAGCACGTTCTCATTTCTTTTTTGTGTTTTGGGAAGAAGAAAGCAATAGAAACAACCAAGACAAGCTGTAAGTTTGTGTGCAGAGCTAGTCCTTGTGAAACACACAGCTTCTCTCATCTCAGATACCATGTTTCTAATTCTGTTTGGCTTCCAGCTACAGCTAGTGTCAAAACTGCTACAGAGTTCAAGGGAAGAAGGATGAGCCACTATGACTTAAAGACTCAGAGACTTCTGAAATAGGTTTTACATAATTCTATTTTTTTAGATACATAGTTTTTTATAGTTCTTTGCCATCCTGAAACAAAACAGGTTCAGGCCTATTAACTCAAGTTATTCTATAGTTTAATGGAGCATCAGTAATGAGTGTATACCTGCTTCCCAGAGTTGAATTGGACTCCTTTTGCTTATGGACAGTAATAATTTAGCATTTTGTGAAACTCCAGGTATTCAGTACAGTGATTTCCTATTTTTGTCACTTAAGTAAAAAGATAATGCAAACAACCAAGACACATTAAAATATTATTAGAAGGTCTGACATTCTAAGACTTCTAAGTAAGGGTAAAGTCAACATGGTTCTTCATGTTTAAGTCATTTGATAGGGCTGAAGATCTATATTTAGTATGATATATTTTTATTTTTCATGACATTTGCAAAAATAAAAGATGAATTGAAATTATTTTTTGCCTAATCTCCATTATTTCTCTTCTTTGGCTTGATATTACCTGAAGACAGTTAGTATTATATTCTAATAGATCTACCTGGAAATAAATCTGGTAGATCTACTTGGAAATAGATCTACTTAGTGTATAGGAATATGTCATTTGAAGAAGATTTCAGTAGGCTGTATTTGCCTGCCTAAGCTCTCAGGTTGAAATGTTCTCAACAAAGTAAATATTTGTACAGGAAAGCTTTTGGTTGTTTGCAGCAGCTCTTGCTTATGAATGCATGCTACTGCAGAAGTCTATTGTATATGAAATATCAGCTTTGTGGTTTTTTTAAGATACAAAGGTATGCCAAAAGCAAACTTCCAAAATACAAGGTGATTATGTGCTCATAAAACACTGCAGTGTGTATTCAGTGGGCTCTACTCAATCAGCTCTGTTGCAGTTTAGTAACCTTATGAGGATGTTTGAATGAACCCCCAAAACCTCTCAGGCCCCGATCCTGCGTTAGGCACTGTGCAAGTGCTCTGGAGGCAGTGGGACCTGACGCAGGCGCAGCTCTCACCCTCCCTGCTTCAGGGTGCAGGATCCAAGCCATAATTTGCATCTCAATCACTTCAAATTAAATTAAAAACACAACAAGGCATACGTAATCCGAACTCTGTCTTCCCCAAGCTTTTGTTGTATAGAACTTCTGATGTTTCAAATGTGTATTTTCGTGTTCAGTTACATAAGTTATACAGGCTGCATATTTAAGGATCCATGATCTGTGATCCTGCTGCACACAGAACTGAGTAAAGCTAATGGCAGTTTTGGTTTGTTATGATCTGCAGGATCAAGGCATGTGAGCTAACAGTCTAAGTAGCACCTCAAACTGGTTTTTCTTTCTTTTCTGATTATAAAAATCTTCATTTTAATGTGAAACATAAAAGCTGACTCATAGTTAAGAATTAAAGGGCCTTACCCTGCAGTTTTTATGTAAATAAATTTCCTTTCTGAAGTTTGTGGGAGGTCTGCTTGACTGAAAGCACAGATCGAACCCTCTACCAGAAGACTTTCACTGGTAATACACCTGACTTCATTTGTAACACACCTGAAAGCCATCTCTCCATCTTGTGACATTTTTAGGATGCTTATTACCACAGTGTCTTCTTGAGATACAGATTAGAACTTAATAGAAGTAAACTGAATATTTCATTTTACACTGAGATGTTCACAATGAGTTACTTTTGGCATTTATATTTAACATGTTAATGTAATCCTCTACATTGAAAGAATGGAATATTTTTGAAACTATTACATATGAAATAGCTATGGCCTGTTTTAAGCATAGTAAATTTAGATGTTGGTGGCTCTACTAATGAATCAATGGCACCATTTAAAAAGTGTTCAAGCAACGTGAAATTTTGTCATACCTATTTTGTGACAACAGGAAGCTGGGGTACAGTTTGTTATATTGAGGGGCTGCTCTTGGAATTTGGATATCCAGGTGGAAATCATGAAAGTATCAGTTATAATTCACATTAATTGAATATGCGAGATAACAGCAGCATCTGAAATTTAGACGTGATCTAGTAGTAAAGTCTGTATTAATTTTAATTGGGATAGACCTAATTTCCTTGGGTTTGCTGCTTTCTATTTTCTCTCTGTATAGGTGTTGGGTTTTTTTCTGACAAGGATTTTTTAGGCTCAACTGTGTTTGTCCAGAGCATTTAGAAACTCAAATACAGCACTGGGGAGAGATCTGCTATTAATACAGGAAGTGAGAAGATCACAGTTAGGATGCTTTAAATCATTTGCGTAGAACTTTGAGCAGAGGGAACCTAAAAGGAGAAAACAGTGATTTTATTACTTTTGCAGAAGGTTGTTTGTTGGGGGATGACGCAGCTGAGAAAAACCAAATAAGAATGAAGTTGTACATTTTTTGTACATAGAGTATGTTCTTCCTGAAAATAAGTGCCCCGTATAGAACTACTTTACCTTTTATTGAAGAACAAGCATAGGGTAGAATTTGTAGAGCATGAGGTTAATAACTTTATGCAGAATATGTTTGAAATCAAGACCTCAGTTAAAAGCACAATAACAGTTGCACTTTACTAGACATAAAATTAATCTGCTCCAGTATGTTTTCTTTAGCTGTAGGCAGCAACTAGATACCCTCAAAAAGGTTCAAGAACTGCCAATTTAGTCTTCTTCTCAAAGAATCACTTCCCAAATGCTGATGGCTATGGACTGCTTTAAACCCCAAAGCATGAGATAGCTATTCTTTTCCAAACTGGCCTTCATGTTATTACTGGGTAGTCTTGCAATCTGATAAGCATCCCTTTGTATCTTGCTGCATTATTGATAGTACAGTCATAGTTTCAGTATGCACATGATCAAGTCTTTATGTAAAACCCATGGAAGCAGGTATAGCTTTAGAATTTTGTTAAAACTCGTATGGAATCCCGTGGCAGACTGCAATTGTGTCTTCCTAATCCTACTTACCTTTGACAAAAGCAGGCCTTCAAGATACAGCCAATCAGTAGCCAATTTAAATACCTCAATTATTTGGATTTCCTATCAGGTGGTCTTAAATCTTAATTCCTAGAGTTTATAGGTGGTAATACCTTATTTTGTCAACCTATGAAGATAAACATTTAGTCCCCCTTCTGACAGCAGTCAAGTAGGTACTTCAACTGCACATGCAACATGATGCTATAGTTCAATGATAATAGAGAGAAGATGAATTTTGGAATGGCAATTAAAGCACAATGCTGCAGGAGCATATAATTCTATTTTTGGTTATGAGGAATAAAAAAAAATAATCTTGCTATCCCATAGTGTTTTAGTTAGCTTGAGCTGTTTGGTTAATTTCTCTTACCTCCTTAGTAAGGTCATGCAGGGAACAAAAAATAAAAGGTGTGTGAAGTGCTACATGTCAAAGAAAACCCATTTTAAAATTAATATGATTACTTGTAAGTGCTCAGAGTTCATTCAATATTTTAATGGTAAATAAGATAATGTTGGGAAGGATTTTTTTCCTATATACCAGGGTTTGGATCTAAGGTTAGATGCAAAACCCTATTATGTTAAAACTACAGTCACAAATGACACTTCTAAATTAGGTTATAGTAATTTTATGAAATTTGTGGTAAGCAAAATGTATTTTCTTTTTTAAATGTTTGTATTAATTAGAAATAGAATTCATCCATGATAAAGAGCATAGCACATTAAAATCTTCTTTTTAAGGAACTTTGAAAATTTTAAGGTACCTGTAGTAGCATAACTGGATTCACTTGTTTTGGTTTTTTTGCAAATA